GAATGCTGAGCACACGGTGTGGGTCCATGATGTGCTGTCTTCTGGGTCAAAGGCACCCTTGGGACCGAGGCTTCCTCGGAGGGGCTTCGTGACGGGAAGCTGCTTTCTTTGCTGGACTTCCAGCCAGAGGGGGTGGTGAGCGGACCAGCTGGTGTCATTCGGTGGAGTGACGTGGTTTGCTCTGCTCCCTTTCTCCATGCAAGGTACCCTGTCAGCAAGCGTTCCTGTGAAGCAGAGAAGGAGAGGTGGTCAGGACGAGAGGTTGGGCAGAGGCACAAGCCCACTGCTTCAGCCTCAGCTGATCTTGGTGCCGCATGGGCTGTCGGTGCATGCAGCCTCCGAGGTCGCTGGAAAGGAAGGTGGAGCAATTCCTCCGATAAAAAGCTGGAAACTGATATATTAATAGTTCATTCTCTGGGTTTCATAGAGCGCCTTTCATCCTACAAGAGCATGGGTGAATAATGATACTTTGCAATTACACAGTACCCTTCACCCCTTGATCTCAGTGTGCTTTACAGAGCTGGGATGTACCACTCTCCGCACAGCACAGGCGGGAAAGTGGAGTCAGAGAAGGAGAAGCATTTGGACCACAACCCCTCAACACCTGGGATGGGGATAGGATGGGGAACACCGCATGTGCTGGGGCTCCCCAGACACACCTCACTGCACGGGCTGGTGTGCAGCTCCAGAGGGCTCATCGGTCTCACAGAGAAATTGGGACAGTACCTGGAGACAGCTCCACTCTCACGTAAATATGCCTCTCCCACTAACAGAGCTAACTCTGTAGGTACTATCTGTGCTGTGCAAGCAAACTGAAGATGCCCCTCTTGGCCCTTCCTCAAATCCGTAGTCATACAAAGGAGAGATGTATGCTCAACACAGCAAAACCGAGCTGCAATGAGGGAGGTCGGGGTGGAGTTCCCCTCAACCTCCTCGGCCCTCTCTTGGGATGGTCTGCAACAAGTCTTGTACGACCACCACAGCAGCTATAGTGCCAGGAGGTTACAATCAGCAGAGCACGGTAACTGACACTGTGTAGCATGACAAATAGAGCTCAAATAAAGGCATTTTAGGGCCCAGAGCAGAACTAGGCATTACTTGCACTGAGGTAAACTGCTACTAAGATCTGGTATTTTCAGTGTTGAACGCATATGTTTCCATGGACCATGTATGAGATGAGAACAAAACTTTCAAGATCCTGCTAGAGCAGCTCAGAGAATTAGGCAAAGAATTTAACTTTCCAGTTGTTCCCTTTTTCTATCCTGGTCCTCATTTCCAGGTGCATTTTTCTCCTGCTGTCTGACCAGATGTACTGAGTGCTTTTGTCTTCTTTCTTTTCTCATTTTTTAGGACACAAAAGGAATGCATCCCACAGGACTTATTCAGACAAGCCCTTCTGAAGCCCACAGGTGCTTTGACTGGGTGAACAATACTGAAGCAAACACAGCTTTATTGATTTTGAGGCCTTCAGAAAGCTGCATTATAGCTCCCCTACAATAAGGTGAACTTTGCCAGTGGTGAAGGCCAAGGTCACGAAAATCTTTGGAATCGCAGTTTTGAAAACCCAGATCACCTTCTCATCAATGTAATGCAACTAACACCACTCCAGTGGTTATAAGCTCCTGATGCCCTAGTTGATCTAGGGGGTACTGGGTGATACACCATGGCCTCATGTGCTTCTGCTTCCCTTGTCAGTTGACCATATAGGCTGCCTAGCAGGGACTGTCCTCTCTCTCTACGCAGTGTGCTTTGGACTCTGTCTCCTTGGATGGGATCTGCTGTCCCCTAACGATTCGGACTGAAACTCTGAAGTACTTATTGGCCTTAATTTTGGTGCTGGGTCACATTTTCCTTAGTATGCTCCACAATCTCCCCTTCACACTGGCTCCTCTGCGATCACTCACGTCACTGTGCTCGTATCCCCCTGCCAAACCTCCACCCTTCTCAAAGCAGAGACTGGAAGGCACATTGAATACGTTGACCAGCACAAACTCCCAGAGCATGGAGACCACTATATCTAGGTTAAGGAGTAACATTTGGGCTTTCAGGCAATGTGCCCAGCAGGATGAGAAGTTTTGGGTGTACAGAGAGCTGTGGACAAGAACTAGACTGAGAACTGGGATGTATCCACCTAGAAAGTACTCCCCATAAAGTACACGACTGCTTTCTGTCACTTTTTGGCTCGAAATCTTGCTCTGAGATTAACTAAAAAGGGAAGCAGAGAAATTAAAATCTGTAACGTGTGTATGAAACTTCACTCTGCACTTCAGGTATTTTGCCTGCTCCTCTCTTTTCATATGTCAACAGAAACAAATTTCCATCCCTCACTAATCAGTCTCAAGTGGCATGGCATAGCACAGATTGATGGAAGTGATTTGGGAGGGAGGGCATGAAGAAGTTCCCTAGCTCTTGATGCTTTCTGGCAGGAGCAGTCAGCTAGCTTTGTAAGTCCCCTCCTGCCAACAGACTCAGTGTAACAGAGTGTGCAGATCGGAGAGAAGGACCTTCTCTGTTGGTTGGCTCATATGGCAGTCATTGAGGTTGATGAATGCATCTTTGTAGCTATCAAGTGACAGAATAAAAATCCGTATCAGGCATAGCATGCAAAGTTTTATAAAGAAACGAGAACACACTAGTCATCACCACTTCACAGTTAGACGTTACACACCTCGTGCCAACACCAGCGTGCATGACCAGCACAATAAAGTAATCTATTTATATCTCCCCCCAAAACAAATTACTTTTTAGGGGAGCAACATATGCTCTTCACCCCAGCTGAACCTGCCCTCAACACACATCAAATATTGCTGATCACACAGAAAAATTGCATCAGCCACGGAAGAATAATTTTGGTAAGCATAAAGCCATGGGGTTGAGCTTATGGGAGTTGCACTGAGGTGAGCATGCTGGGTTTTGCCTGCTTTCCAAAGCTAAGCAGGTTTGGGCTGATCCCGGGGTGGAAGACCACCTAAAAGTCAGAGATAGGCTGTAGTTCCAACCCCAGGAGGCAGCATGGAAAAGAAGACAGAAAAGACAGTAAGTAGGAAGGCTCATTTCTGCCCCACTATCAATGCAGCAGGGCAAAAGGAGAAAAACTCAACTGTATGATGACCCAGCTCAGGCAGATGCCTTGGAGGTCCACCTGTGTGGGCTCAGATAGCAAGGCAGTGCTTCTCTGAACAGCAGGTGAGAGCTGCGTGGATGCTCTCTGTGGCTGTTAGTCATAACCTGAGCAATGGGCAACTACGGAACAGGCTGCACCAGTGCAGAGCTTCCTCTTCGGTTTATGCCCTGACTCGTGAGGATTTAAATCCTTGCTCGAAACAACACAGTGTTAGAGCTTGGCCAGACAGTTTGGCAACTAGGGCAAAGCCTCCCCAGCGAGCTTCCCTCCTCCCTTTCCGCAGCTAGCTATCTCTTTCCAGGTGCTGCTGCAGACCTACAGCCCTTCGTCCTGTGCAGCCCTGGGGACTGGTGTGGTGGGAAGCTTGGCCCTGTTTGGTGAAGCCATTTGGTAGAAGGCCTCCTTGCCCCACTGCCCCTCCATGCTGAGGAGCTGGGCAGCTCGGCTGCGGGGGCATTTCCTCCTCCTGCTCCCCCCATACCCAAGCACGGATCCCAGCTCTGCCTTAGGTTGCCATGCTAGCAGCAGGCTCTGGCTGGCAGTAACAGCCGCCAGAAATAGCTGCTCCTACCCACTGCCCTCCCCAGTCATGTCCTACCTCCTCGGAGGGGCCATGCCATTGACATGGCTTTGGGCACATGCACGCATGCAGACACACACATTTTTTCCCATGGTTGCTTCCCCCTCATTCTGTGCCCCATTGAACATTTCTGTCTCCAGATTCACATCTTATTGTTCAGAAAAAAATTAGTGACTGGGTGGGGAGGGCTGAGGCAACTGTTGATGTGGGCTGGCATGGCAGAGTTTCCACCATTTAGCACAGCACTTAATTCACCCGGACAATGAATGCTGATGTGCTAAAAGAGGCCTACTTCATCTGGGACATGCATGGCCCTAGAGTAAAGGCACTGCAATTATTTTCTCAGGGAAACTGCTCTGAGGATAAACCACAAGAGTGCAGCTAAAGCCAGCATGGGAGCAAGCTCAGCCCTGGAAACACTCTGGAATCATCTGTTACTTGTAATAGTTCTGTAATTTTTTTTTAATTTTTTTTTTTAGTAATTCTTAAAGCAGTTCAAGCTTCTTCATTAAAACCTTCCCCTTTGAATACTTGATGATTCATCTTTCCATGAGCAAACTGAAGGGATGCCACACTACAAGAGTCTGGGGAGGCCTTTAGCACGAATGGGATAACAAGAAGGGTCCTTAAGTACCATCCCTTGGTTTTGAAGGTGGTGTTTGCCTTCTGCTCTGGTCTTGTAAGCTATGGATCCTTCTCAGCTTTGGGTCAGAGATACAACTCAGGCTCTCCCGCCTACTGAAACGTGAGCCGTAATCTGAGCGGACATTGTGACTTCAAGGAATGCATTGGGGAAGAGGCTTGGGATTTGCCCTCCTTTGCTGCCTAGGCAGAAGAAGTGTTAGGGACAGCTTAGTCACCCCCCACTCTCTGACTGAATTATTGCAGGGATGCAGCAGAGGCCATGCTTGCAATTGTATCCAGTAGTCAAGGAAGGACCTTGAGGAAGAGACATGAACTAGAAAGCAGCAGGTCTGTTATGTGCTGACTCCTGCTTTCCTGCATCTATTCTTAGAAAAGCCTTTTAGAAAGTTTCACCAGTTTACATCTACGTTGGGCCCCTTGCTGGTACATTTAGTACCATCTCTCCCTAAACTCCTTCAATGTATGCTAAACTGAGCTCAGAAACTAGCTAGTGAAGTTAAGAACAGGGATGTATGTCACCATGGCCCAGTTATGTAGCAAGGAAATGAAGGAAATACAGTTCCAGACTCTCCTTCATGCTCCAGGATGGCCCAAGGGAAAATCACCTCTTAAAAAGAGGGAGCAAAGGAATCATCACTGTGGAAGAGACCCTGAGAGTCACCAAGAAGATATGGGGTCCATGCTCCTGGATTTACTAGGCAGTCAGTTCACTGCAGAGATCCAAGACAGAAATGAAGTCCTCTCTACCTCTTTCAAAATTGGCGACAATCATTCAAAACCCAGGTATCTAGCAGCAGAGTCTGCTCTTGACTGCTTTGTTCCAGCCCCAAACTCCATGGTAGGGATACGGCATAAGGCAAAGGGAAAAGTATTTT